TGAATTGTTGAATGGATCGTATTAATTGTTTAATTCTTGTAGTTTATTTTAAAATATTTCTTTGAGTACTTGATTAAAAATGGTAACCTAAAATGTCTAATTAATATTTTACATTTTTTTGGAATTTTGATGTACGTGTAAAGTTCTATTTATTTTAAATATTTATTTAGGATATAATAAATGGTGTTTAGTGACATCTTTTTATTATTTAAGGAATAACTTAGCAGTGCGATAGTTCTAAGCCTCAAATTGTTTTAAGTTATCACAGTAGATGACGCTGTGATTGTTAAATCTTTATTGTTTATTAATATATCGATACTATTAATAGTAACACAGGAACAAAGTCTAAGAAAATATATACGCGGATTGTAAAAATATAATCACCATATAATTTAAAACAAATTTTTATTTTTGTTGAAGATATTAAATGATTTCTAGAATCGTTGTACACGCCATACCGTACCTTATAAAAATTAATTATAAAAATAAGCTATTCTAAAGCTTTAAACATTAATTTCTTTGGCTAAATAATTGGAGTTTGTAAAAGAAATTATTATTTAAAATATCTATAGAAATAGGTAGGTCATAAAAACTCGCACTTTGCAAAAATACCTATCGTGTATTAAGTTCGGAGAGCTGAGATTCGCGAACGGAACGTTTGCTCCCGGCGGTTGATCATGAGCGGAGTGCGTGTAAACCTAAAATAGATTTGTATTACTTTATATTTTGTGAGTTAATCAAGGCAAACGAACTTTACGCAACCCTCTGAGTTCAAGTAAACATTAATTTCATCTGACGCAAAAATCGTGTAGTGCCGAAAAAACCTTGTAATGTTTAAATTCTTGTCTAATTCTTTGATTACACAGGCCAGCTGTCAAGAGGTGGGTAAGTTTTGACTTTTTATGGGAATATCTAGATACAATTTGTTCTTATCGACCTGATCTGTTATCAGAGCTTGATTAATGCAGATTTTCTGTAACTTAAACGCCCTTGAATCGTCTGCCCTTGAAGTACTTAGAAACGTCAAAGATGCGACAAATTTTGTTAAAATTAAATTTATTTGCTGCTTTGAATTAATTATTATTTTATGCGAATTATAAGTGTCTATGGCTGTTTTTACTTAAAATATTTTGAGATTCTATTGTCTTTACTACGATGGACTATTAGATAATCAGTAATCTAACCTCAATGACCTTAACCACTTATGATAAAACTTTGGTATTTCAAACTAAAATATATTAAATGTACACTTACCTAAGCGTTTATAAAACTATGATTCTTTTAAATTATAATTTAAGTAAAATATATATATGCTGTAGGCCTAACAACTTGAATTAAAGTTTTATTATAAATAACATATGTGTGTATCTTAAACATTATAATAATTCTTATCTTTTACGTCAACTGGTTAAATGTCTATCAATTCAGTTTCATTTGAGTCTTCACAACACAATGACCGGGCATCGGGTAATTTTGCATTTATTTTGTTCAAAGTCATTTTAATTGTTAAAAAAGTTACTGTTTTTAAACATTTAAGTATATTTTAGTGTTTTGTGATAAATGATGTGTCCATGTGCTAATGATATGTATAGTGGGTTTGACATAATTAATTTTTTATCAAAACAAAAACTAGTGCAATAATCAACATTATGTCACTAGTGTTTTGTCACAATTCATTTTGTTCATATTAATTTGTGTCATAAATCCAATTATTACACTTGAATATGTATAAATAATATAATATCGAATGCAAAATTGTATTTCGCAACTTATGTAAATTCTTAGATATAAAGCATTATTGCTATTCTATTCAAGAGTGTTCAAGAGAAGATAGTAATTTTATGTCTATCTTTAATAATTCAATCTCATATATCTCACGAATTTTTCTTATCCTAACCTTTTTTTTAATACAATCATCCATACCATAAATGACTGATAATGATTATCATGACCCTATCATTTGTTATATTTTACCATAATTATTATTAAACTATTGTAATAACATGTTATGTAACCTCAATGTCAAATTTCATAGGAAGTTCGTTGAATTTTAAACTTGAATATTTTTTATCATCATATTATTAATTAGTCAACTAATATTGACAATGAACACTGACTCAAATATTATATGTATACATGTGCATATAACCTGACTAGATATTTTTTAGTAACAATTATTAACATTTATTTTGATAAAAGGCATATTGTTGTATCGCTACGAAATGTTAGCATTTGTAATGGTTTAACTGAAAAGTGAAGCATAATAGGCTAGCTAATAATTTATTTTTACTTTTTTTTTTTGAACATGTGTAATTTTTTATAGACGAGAACAATTTCTTAGGGCCGTAATTCTTTTCCATTTTGATTATTCTGTTTCAAATACTTCTTGCTGCTTCCCTAATGTTCCCTTGAAAATAATTTAAACCAAAATTATTTTCAAGGGCCTTCATATAGACTGTTTGCTTTTACGATATATGTTATATGTTATGTTTATTCTTTTGAACTTAATTGACATAAATTGTTTTTATTATTCTAGTGCATAACTTTTTTCTAAACTTGAGCTATACAATTTAAGTGCTTAATGATTAGGCATTAATTTAATGACAATTTTCATTTAATGTTTATTTCTTCACCTCCTCATTGGTTTATAGTAAATTTGTAATAAAAGGAAACTTGTAACATGTGATTTCTTATAACATACTATGCAACTTGATGCAAAAGTAAAAATTGAGCAACGAGAATCAAAACAATTGTTTCTATTTTGGTAAACAGTGCTTTTGGTACTTAACAAATTAGTTAGCTATCTGGGATTGAGCATAACTCTTGAAAAATTTGGTATAAATTTACTGAAATTAGTATACTTCTGGCCTTTTGTTTCTTGATATTTTGGTTTCAATTCTATTTTAAAGTAATTTAAAAGTTTTGTTCTAATTTGCCGGCATTAAAATTTATTTATCAATGTGCTTACATTTTTGACTGTCATTCATTATATTGATTTTATTCTTAATTGGTCAATATTTGTAAATATAATTTCTTTGCCAAGGTCGTCTCTATTGTAATCTAATTAGTACCATATAAGATTTCTTTTTATTAAATGCTTTTGTTTATGAAACTTCTTGAAATTTTGTATGCCTCTATTCTATATTTAGGCCTTTGTGTTCTTTGTGATATTTGTAGATGTTGTTATAAAACTTTGAAAGGTTTGATATAAAAGTTATAGTCAAATTTGAAATCAGTCTAAGCACCCATAAATTTGTCTACCTATATAAATTATAAACCTACTCTTTTTGTGTTTTTCCTTTTTTGTTGACCATAATTTTTTAGTCTCCTATTACTTTATTTCTTACCTTAATCTGAAGATTGTCTAATAAATCTTTTTACATCATCATAAATTCTCATTTTCTTATCACTATAGTAAAAGTATATTGAGTATTATTTGCATCTCGTTCACAATTTTAATTTGATGAATTTAATTTATTTAACCTCCCTAAAAAGGTATACAGGGTGACTGTTGAATTACTATCAATATTTGAGGAGAGTACTTGGTACATGATTCTCATTCGAATTATGTAAAAAAAATAGGTACTTAATTTTTGACCAAATTTCCGTATAAATAAATAAAGTGTGGACATGTTCCAAGTGTTCCAAGTGTGGACGCGTGCGTGTGTGTGTGTGTGTGTATACCTAATCTGTAGGGTGTTCACACGATGCGTAACTAACTTAATTATATAACTTTTGGTTAACTTTACTTTATGTTACATTAATTTTTATTTTGTCATATATGATCGTCATATATCACGTCCTCAAGTATCTATAGTAATTCACCAGTCACCCTGTATATATTATATTTATTTAATTTTCCTCTTTCTATTCGTCCGGGATAAAGAGACTTGCTTGGGTTCTCCACTGATAAGTGTCGTACAAAATTTCAAAGAATAATTAATGTCCAATAAAAAGTAAATTCAGATGCTAGTGAAGGGAGAACTATTATTATATTAGGGTTAAGTATCTGAAATAAAGTGATGGTAGCAGTAGCTTTACAATGGCATATTAAAGTTTACCATTTCAAGCTATATTACAGCTGTTATAACAAATTATTTTAAGTTTAGGAATATGATATGATTATTATATATAGTTATTTGTTATTTGGAAAATTGTATAATATATATTTTTTCATTGGATAACAGAACATAATACAAGTGCAATTTATTTATACTATGGCTGTGAAAGCTGATGGTGTATAATAGGTCTCGTTTTAAGTTTATTTTATTCAAGCGTCGAGCATCTCAAATGTCACCAGACGTACGATCAATATTTCACTGTTGCATAAACACGAATTTTAAACAATCTGTGACATATAACTACGTTGGAAATGATTACAACTTGCATTGACCTAATAAACATATAAACGAATTCATCCCGTGACTTAAATTTATACTTTACAATGATTATAAGTTAGTATATAATATTTTATTTGATTATCATCAAAAATAAATAATGGGTGATATTAAGAATAATCAAGATAAATAGTATGTTATGCAGCCACCATAAAATAGGGAAATATTTCAAAGGTATTTGTTAAGTAGGCGCACTTGAACAAATTTTTACTTTGTTAAGGGTTGTAAAAATCCATGCACAGATTTGTATCCTTAGTCAAGTTTTCATTGTCACACTACTAACACGGAGTGTTTACTTTTTCATTATATTCTTGAATGAGGAACGAACAATGATTCGTATCCAGTACGATGCAAAGTTGGATTAAGCATACTGATTCATTTCGAACGGATGATATATAATTTTTTAAACATAACAAGAAGGCATTCTCTTGATATTTCTTTTAAGACGTAAAAGAATGAACATAGGTACATTTACAGTATATATAAAAATAGGTACTATATTCTATTGAATTTCGTTTTTAAACTGCATGTAAAAGTAATTGTATGCTGAGTAGACCACAGACGTCTTATTACGCCATACCTATTGGTTTTGTTATAAACATTATGGTTTCCACAACATCAAATGTGGTTCACATTAACTTGGTTAGCTAATACAAATCTAGTCGATAAAGCAAACCATGTTGGATTTGTGCTAAACACTTCTAAGTATATCCAATTAGTGCTATTAAAATCTCGAGTCATATGTAAACGTGACATGTATAACAATCGCAGGGGGCTGGTTATTTAAAACGAGCCGATACAGACAAACTTCACGAGATATTCCTGAAGTATGCGACTATAGAGAAGAATGGCGAGAAATATATTACCAGCGAGGATTTCGTCAGGAAATTCCTGGGACTATTCGATGAAGGTAAGAACAATATGGAAAATTTTACAATCATAGTTATTGTTATAGATATTTTAAGTACGGTATATTCCAGATGACTACAACAAGGAATCGGTGCAGCTTATCGCTGGAATCGTCGACATGGACAAGGATGGGTTCATCTCGTTCGCAGAATTCCAGGCCTTCGAAGGGCTGCTCTGCGTTCCAGATGCGTTATACAAGACCGCCTTCCAGCTGTTCGATACTAACGGCAATGGACTCGTAGCTTTTGGTATGATTTAAATTTTAGGATACTTATAATTAAAATTCATTTTTATTTCTTATTTATACTGATATAATATATATAATCATAGCATATTTATTATTGAAATAATCTGAAATTATTAAATATTTTCATACGAAAGTTTCATCTAATTGCACCTAAAATTTTACATGCATAGTTGATGAAATAATGTAAATATTTCCAGTCCCCGTGTATTGATCAACTAATTACCTCAAACTTTATATATTATGGTTGTATTTCAGACGAATTCGCCGAAGTCATGCGAAAGACGGCACTACACAAAAAACTACCGTTCAACATGGAAAGCACGTTCGTACGCCTTTATTTCGGAAAGGTATTATATTAAATAAATATTAACCATATACAAATACATTTACACATATAGGTATCGGTAATATTAGTTACGTAATATTAAAATATATGGGTACAGAATCATACTATATTCGAGATAGGTAATGTGCAACGTCCTGCAAGTTACAAGCCCCCTCAATATTAATGTTCAAAGTCAATTACATAAAGAATTTACGAGCATCCAACAATGGAATGCACGTTAAATTATATTAGTACCCAGATTTATTGTTTTTGATAGATCTCTTATCAAAATTTTAATGGAATAGCGTAATTTTTTGTAATGAGGGTATTTTTTATTGAGAACTTTTATATAAGAATAGTTTAGTCATAGTGAGATAAATCAGTTATTTTCAAGTTAATACAAAATCTTGGAATATTCATATATTTTATAAAATCCACAACCTTCATATCAATAAAGAAAGATTTTAAAAAATATTCTATTAAATTATCATATAATAACAAGATTTTCCTTCAATTTATTTTTAATAGGACAAGAAGCGTCTAGTAACTTATCCGGAGTTCAGTCAATTCTTGCACGATTTCCACGAGGAGTATGGTGTAGAGGCGTTTAAGAAATGCGACAAGGACGGTAGTGGGTTCATAACCGTTAGTGACTTCAGAGATATAATGGTCAGCGTCAAAAACCACCTTCTCACCAAGGATATGAAGAACAAAGTCATCATGGTATATATATTACACTAATAGTATCTTTATATATATAATTCTTCTGTGAGTGTGTATGTCACTGATTTTCTCTCAAACGACTGGACCAATTTTGATGAAATTTTTTGTGTGTGTTCAAGGGCTCTGTGAATGGTTTAGATTCACAATTTTGTCTGCTGGACAATGTTTTTTTAATTAATTTTTAATTTATTAGTAGTTGTTGATACAAACGTTTTTTTATGGCTTTAATAGGTAAACTACAGAAATATAAATAAAAAAACGTAACAGATGTTTCTTGATTAGAGGGAGATACGAAGTTCGCCGGGTCTTCTAGTATATATATAATAATAGTACAAAGACAATGTTTTATAGGTACATTACCTATATGAAATATTCAACATCATTAAAGTAACAAACAAACAAACAATAAAGTTATGGAAGTGATAAACATCAAATTCTATGCAAACTCTATTTATCAATATAGTTAATTTTGAGAAAGTTCCAATGTGTAACAAGATTTAATTATCAAGAAATCAATCGTGTAGACTGTGAATTTAAACTAACAATAGACTATAACATTCCAGGCATCTGGTTTTCCTCAAGGGGAGCGTAAAATCAGTTTCCCATACTACATGGCGTTTAATTCCTTACTGAATAACATGGAATTGATCAAACGTGTGTATCTGAATGCTACTAATGGACATAGGACACAAGAGGTCACTAAGGAAGAGTTCTTGCATTCAGCGCAAATGATGAGCCAAATAACGCCCTTGGAAGTAGACATATTGTTCACGCTCTGCGACATGATACATCATACTAACGGGTATGTTAATATATTTGTATGTTTATCTGCTGTTATCTCTGAAACTATATTTTTTTTATGCAAATTTTGGTGGCAAAAGTATAGATTTTACAGTATAGTAGTGTCACTTGTTATTTAGTACGGAATAAATATATTGATAAGTTATTAAAAAAATTATCTTATGTTTGTTTGTCTTGAGAAAATATTTGTGATGTATATCTTATTATTTTATTTAAATTGAGTAATTCTTTATCAATGATATTATCAAATAATTAATTAGTGATGTACTCACATAATCAATGACAAATTCTATAACACAAATTATATTTTAACCAAAAATATGTCAGTTTAAAATTATATGTAGCTTTTATCCAAATTATTTATTAATTTTATAGCTTAAATAAAATATGTAATGAATGATATAAACAGATAAAAGTGAGTCAGTAAAAATGTCTCTGTATATCGATGATAAAATTATAAGAATGATCTATCTGCCTTAGAGACAAATTGGATTTTATAATCTTATCAGATATGTGAATATTAGAATGATAGTACAAAGATAAGTGGCTGTGTTGCAAATTCTTCCTACACTTATTGTCTATTTTAACCTTTATTTAACAGATTAGATTTAAAACCTTAATTTTTTCCATTCTTATTTGGAATTACCATTAAGAAAATACACAATATTTCGTGTATTATTTTAACTGAATAAGATTATTTTGAAGATAAATTTAATTTATAGTATTGTATTGAAAAACAATAGAAAAAAAAATTATATATAAAATTATATTATAATAAGATATCCAATATATTTAAACCTATGAATATAAAATGTAACTTTATAGTACCTCAGGCTCAGCAGTGTGGAGTGATGTCAACAATCATTCTGGGTTCGATTCCTGTTTTGCGACAAGTTTGTTTTATTACTTGCTTTATTACCACAGATACCATAAAATGAGACATAATCTGGTGTCAGATTCAGCTGTTAATATACAAGAAATTTATATGGAAATAAAAATATTTTGATTGCATTCTTCATTAATCATATTTAACTAAAAAATGTTTCATTTCAAAACACGTACTTTTCCAAAACCTCGACATGTTTTACTCAACTTTTCTGGGTTACTTTTATTCTTCAGAACTTCATTATAATATTCTAAGTGATTCATGTTCTCTTGTAACTAAATCATCTTATTATAAATACAGATATAAAATTTTTTGCACCTTAAGCAAGACCAAATATTTTGTTAACAACGCCATCTATTGACGAATACTTGAAATTGATTAATTTGAATATAAAAATGTTACTTTCAGTCGTATCGTATACAACGATCTGAACGCTATAACACCGGAGCAGTACTTCAAGCAAGTCACACGAAGAATCGCTGAAATAAAAGCCGTCTCGGTACGTATGACCAATGAATTTTTCAGTACCAGCAGCCGTCGACATAAACGCGATAGTAACCCGTATGTGTATTAACATAAGAGTCGTTTTCGGAAACATCACTAACTTACATGTATGTTATTTTCTTTATGCTGATAAGGATGAGGTAAATATAAGTGAGCCATTTCGATTTGTAAACTTTTTGGAAAAACTTTTGGTGAGTACGGCTCGTTGAGTTTATGATGTTTCTCTATTTATTATTATATTGATGTTAATTTTTTTAAATCACAAAACTTTCTATATCATTCGAGCTTCTTATGTAATATTTAACAAGTATCCCATGAACGTAAAGGTATTTTTTTAATTTGAACTCACCAAATTCAGCCACTTTCGAAGTATATTTTAATCCATTTATTAGCTGTGATGTTAAAAATTTAATAATTAAATATGATTAAGGTAAGTTTTCCTTCAATGAAAAGCTATACATCAATATTCTTCATATAAATTTATTTTTGATACACAGATATGAGGCTAGTAAAGCTAGCATGGTTAATCAAATATCATACATATAGTCAAATATCATTTTATTTGCTTCAATGAAACACTCATTAATAAACTAATTTTATGCTTCGTTATTGTATGTCATTATATTTGTTCTAGAGTCCTGAAGAGAGAAGTATTTTAATACAAATCCTTGAAAGCACCTACAGGTTCACCCTTGGTTCTATTGCTGGTGGCAAGTATTCAATATTACATAACACTGATTTAAAATATATATATAATTTTATTTATATGCTATGGTTCCATATTAAAATAAACTTATAAAGGGGACAAAAATTAAATCAAATTAATGTTAGCTTTCATCATCTTTTCTAAATTATTAATATAAGGATGAATTCAGTATGTCTTAATACTTTTTGAATCTAAAGTTTCCATTTAAAATAGCTCTCCCAAAAACTAAACTTTTAACTTACGGAAAACCAGTCAAAACTGGTTCGAACCAGTTAAGAAACAAACACTTTTATACTGCAAAATAAGTTTATTATTAATCAGTTATCTATTTTAGTACCTTCAGTTAAATTTTTGAACAAAATTACTTTCAATCTTATAGCCAGGAAAAAAGTACAAACAGATGTTAAAAGTCTTGATCTAGCAAAAACCGACCAATAGATTTGTAATTATAGTATAATTTCATGTAATTATAGTGAAAATAACACCAATGTATTATTTCCACAGCTGTTGGAGCATCAGCAGTTTATCCCATAGATTTGGTGAAAACTCGTATGCAGAACCAACGTACGGGTTCCTTTATAGGGGAGGTCGCTTATAGGAACTCATGGGATTGTTTCAAGAAGGTCATCAGACATGAAGGCATTTTTGGACTCTACAGAGGTCTGGTCCCACAACTCATTGGTGTTGCTCCTGAAAAAGCTATCAAACTAACGGTAAACTTTGTTTGCTAAAACATATTATTAAAGACTTTTATATTATAATTTCTTATGTTACGATTTTTTTTGCTAATAATTTTTAAATCAAGAATTTTATGAGCTTAGACTGAGACTTAAATTTGTCGTATAGTATTTTTTATACTCAATTGATTTATTTTAACATGTCTTTTTCTAAATAGATATTGAATATACATGTACAATTATATTGCTTTTAAATAATACCTTTTTGATATGAAGTTTTTTGTGTCCAGATGAACGATTTGGTCCGCGACAAGTTTATGGACAAAAAGGGTAATATATCTATATATGCAGAAATTCTCGCTGGAGCCTGTGTAAGTATTATTTGGTAATAATATTATAATTCTTAATTTTATAAGCTATTAATATTTAAATGAATTTTCAGGCGGGTGGTTCCCAAGTAGTGTTTACAAATCCTTTAGAAATTGTGAAGATTCGTCTTCAAGTAGCTGGTGAGATCGCTGGCGGTAGTAAAGTTAAGGCTTGGTCGGTTGTTAAAGACTTGGGGCTGTTTGGTCTCTACAAGGGAGCAAAGGCCTGCCTTCTAAGAGATGTGCCGTTCAGTGCCATATACTTCCCGGCTTATGCTCATGTTAAGGTAATTATTATATTTTTCTTATTATGTATATATAGCGTCTAAGACATGGAAAATATATTTTATGTAATTTTAATTCAGATAAGATAAAAGATACCTTTAAAACCAAATTTCATTAATTATATCAAATGAACAACAAGCCTAGTGGTTAAACGGTCCGCCTCTCGTTTCCGAGGGCGCGGGTTCAAACCTGGCAAATACCAATGTGATTTTTCGGAGTCATATGTACTTTCTAAAAGTATTTAGTCACCACTGACCTACGGTGAAGAAAAACATCGTGAGAAAACCTGGACTTATAGTTTCACAATTATAAGTTTGAAATTACCAACCCGTCTTGAGCAAGCGTGGTGATTAATGCTCAAACCTTCTCCATGTGAGAAAGAGGCCTTTGCTCAGCAGTGGGCCCTGATAGGCTGATGACGAACAATTTCAGTTAAAATAAGTACATAAGTTAAATATTTAATGTATTAACTAATATTTTCCAGGCTAAATTTGCTGACGAGAACGGCTACAATCATCCATTGACATTGTTAGCTGCGGGCGCCATCGCTGGCGTGCCGGCCGCCTCGCTAGTTACACCCGCTGACGTCATCAAAACTAGGCTTCAGGTAACATGCGAAACAGCATTATACTTAAAGAGATAGATAATGACTTTTATTTGGCACGTGAGATAGCACTATATCACGTAAATTAGGTTCGAAAGAGATAGGTGACAACTGGACAGTGAGAGCATTGTACGTGTTAGCTTATGTTAGGAGATAGTAAATGGAGGGAGTGAGACAGAATTATACAAGCTGCGCTATGTTAGAAAGAGAAAGTTAGTTGCAGGAAAGAGTGAAATAGAACTATGTATGCACTATGTTAGAAAGAGAAGAGAGTGACGGAAAATAATGATACAGCATTGTTATTCAGTAATAGATAGAGATATTTTTGATTATCTTTTCTGTTTATAGATTAAGAGAAAGAGTTGAAAAATGTGTTGAATATAATATAGGAGTAATAAATCTTCTAAGCGTAACAGCTTTCGAATTAATGTTGTAAGTGAAATAAAATAAAAAACATAATAATGTTTGTATTTCAGGTGGTAGCTCGTTCAGGACAAACAACATACAACGGTGTTATAGACGCTACGAGGAAGATTTACGCTGAGGAAGGGGCGCGGGCTTTCTGGAAGGGAGCTGTTGGTACGTCGTCTATTTATATATATAAAAAGAATTGCTGTTCGTTAGTCTTACTAAAACTCGAGAACCGCTGAATGGATTTATCTTATCTTAGTCTTGAAATGTTGGTGGAGGTTAAGGGAAGGTTTAAAAGCTGAAAAAAATTTAATCATTTCCAGGAAAACTATAAAAACAGCCATTTTATCTATCTATACAAACGTTTTTTTTAGCATTACATTTGACAATTAACTAATAAGCCAATCATTCTGTCACACTTCAGAACACAGAGATTTATGTCTTAAAGGTAAACTCCAAAAAAATTAATAAAAAAATCAGATTAAATAAAAAAGTATTACTATTGACGATATAGTCCGTTAGACTTAAGGCTGAGCTTTGCATTTGTGTAAGTGAAAATAAAAGTAGAGTTAGACAAAAAACTTTTAGAATTAAATTTTATTATATGTATTTTAAATATATACATAACAGAAGTACTATAAAATAAGCAAAACTTGTAAAAGGCCAGATGGAAATATTATGAATATAATGGAAAAAAAATTATTGATTAATACAAATTTGAAAAAACTATACATATTCTTCTTCACTTGACATTGCGTTTTCAACATTTGTTTTTGCTACCTGTACAAAAGGTGAAGTGAGGAAGGTGCGGGGCGGAGTAAAAGCAGTACAAACCGGTTCAAAACTAAGAAAAGAATGTTTCATTCAAAAATTTGACATCACACCTACACTATCCATGTGTACTCACACAAATGCAAAGCTCAGCTTAAATCAAATGCACTATACGATATTCTATAAGTGCATCTATCTATCTTTGTGAGTGACGACTACCACTACGTGCGGGAGATCTTTTTTTACTTTGTGATCCTTTGTGACAGTAACATTTCAAGTAGTGTGCTCTGTTTTTGTTAATATTTTGTGTGGCACTTTATTATTAAGTTACTTCTAAGTAAGCGAGAAATTTTCTCACTTTGATCAATTACGTTACAATGCCGAGGAGAAGTCTTTAAGGAGAAATAGAGTTCACTCAGTCAGATATGCATTTCTAATTCTGAAACTCACACAGACGAAGTCGCGAGCAAAAACTAGTACATAATATATATTGTTTATTATATTAAGTACATACAAGTGGTGTCAACATAGCTTGTTATTATTATCAATAGTTATAATATTTCCCTGTGTGTATGTTTCAGCCCGTGTGTTCCGCTCCTCTCCTCAATTCGCGGTGACGTTAGTAACGTATGAGATCTTACAACGTCTCTTCTATGTAGACTTCGGTGGATCGTAAGTATTATTATTATATTAAGAAATTAATAATTCCTTACATTTCTTACATACATTACTTCCATAAGACCTATGGTGGTATGGTGGTTTCCCATTACAATTTTTTAAATTGAGAACTTTACCTATAAGTTAATTAATAATCGTAATAATCACTACAGTAGAAACTCGATAAAGCAAACTAATCGTTGTCGATAGGCATTCGGATAATCGAAAATCTCGATAATCGAATGTATGAAGAAATGCGGGTTTTATATATATGTAGTACATAATATTATATGTTTATTTTAAAAAAGTAACAAATGCATAACAACGATAATCAATGTTTATTAATAAATAAGTAAAGGATACATTTTCTTAGATTACATATATATATACTTACTTGTATGTACTAAAAACTGCAAATTTAATTATGAAATAAATTACAATATATGTATTTGGTAATTTGCAATTGGTAACCATGAATTAAAATAATAAGTTCAATTTGCTTTAAATATTTGATAATAGTCATTTGACGTACGCCACTCTCAACAAAACCACTCTTTTACGCTTTGACATTTTTTCTTGTATAGACTTGTCCGTAGTCCGGATAACCAAGAATCCGTATAACTGAGGGTCGGATAATCGAGTTCCTACATATATATCTTACTAATTATCATTTTCATAAAAGACTAGTATCTCATTAATATATCGTGTATTTCCAGCCGCCCGGCGGGTTCAGAACAAACTATATCTACCAGCGTAGAAGAGGCACCTCGCAGGCCGCAACATATAGGAGGGTATCAAGTAGCGGCTCCAGTATTAACTGGCTTGGAAACTAAGTTCGGGATATCACTACCACGCTTCTCATTCGCTAAGACTAACTAATATATAGTCAAAGTATCCCGAAACAAACGTCTGGAAGTGATTTTATACTACTGATCATATAGGCAAAATCTGGAAGAAATTATTGTATGACTGCTTATAAAGCTAACACCTGGAAGAAATTTTGATGACTGACTTCTATAACTGGCTTATAAATCTACCATCTGTATTAAATTTTACTGAAATATCAATGGTATGTGTGGACATATAATACTAGCTAAGAGACCCTTATTTGGGATCTTTATTAGATTAGAAGTGGTTGTGTTAATCTTTCCCTTTACTTTCAAATCTTTACTTATGTAAACTTGTCATTTAAAGTCATGCCTTAATAGTTTACCTGAGATTTCTACTTTAACTAGCAATTTAGAATTTCTTCTTGCACTTGTTTTTACATTTTAATTTTGTTATTACTGAGATTTAATGCCACAAACAATATATTCCAAGATTAATCTCAGTATGTAGTTCAATGATAAATACAATTAATATAAGAGTAATATTGTTTACTAAGAAAATATACATTATGTATAACAGGACAATTTGTTCTTATCGAAGTCATTGCTTATTTATACACACATATAAATCTATATAAACTATATTTGGTATAAACTTGAAGTGTTTCTTGTAAGCCATAACAGTAATGAAGTAACTGAGTGAAGATTATAAAAGAGTTAGTAGTCAAGATTTGATCAGCACATGTATGAATACTGGTCTTTTAAGTCTCAAAATCATGTATGAAGGCAATTTTAGTGCTTTAAGATTATTTTGTTAAAGTGGAACTAAAACATTTTTGGACGAATCATTGACAATTTTTTCTGCTATTGCAAACTTCTCTTTATTTTGAATATATATTTAACTTTCAAATAGAACATGCATTACAGTGGAAAATTCAGATAGATAGTCCAAAAAAATGTTCTACCGCATAGCTTATACTGCCTGTAGCTTTGTTTTGTAAGACATTTAAATCATGTATTAAACGAGATTTTTTAAGACGTAATTTTGCTGTAAATTAGCATTTTTAATACTAGATTTTATAGTCTGTGTTTCTTTATTCTGAGATTTTGAATGGTTGAATTTCATGTGAAACTTCTTCCGAGCTCATCTCTTTAAAATTTACAAAGCAATAGTCCACTGCACCTCGCAACAGCTAATTATAAGGTATTTTCTCTTGAATATAACAAAAATATATTTTTGCAATCATATACAAGTATAGAATTTTTCATAAAGACCTTAATCTTTTTTCTATTCAATTTGGTAGTTATTTTTTATTCTATAACATAATCATAAGTTCGAAAATAGCTCGAATTAATGTAAGAATTATTATTTTTTTACTATCTTTCTTAGTGTTTTTTCGGCCTAAAAACATTTTGTATTCAGTTTTACTTAATTAGACAATTTTATTTTTTAAAAATCACATTATTAATACGATTTATTCTTATCATATATTTTTGTTATTGTTGATTTGTATGTCCATTTATTTTTTTATAAATACTTTTCGCTATTGTGTACTAAGTTTACACATAAGTGTATAATTTGAATACATTTTCTTTTATGTATATTTTCTACATAACACGCACTTCGCAGTTCACTCTGAGCTTTGTCACTAATATATACGAAATAAAAAAATCTTATAAACACACTTATGTATATAGAGTATAAATTGATATATATTTATATATAAATCAATTTGAAAGACATGTTGTGAACTGTATATAGTTTCGGTATATAGATAGTGTGGTAGATCTTAAAATTGGTTGTCATCAACAGCAATACTGTGTTGGAGAGTTATAAATCACTGAAGGGACTTGAAACTGTCATATCGTTGTAAAATTTAACAGTATGTATATATAAAATAATCTAAAAATGTCAACATGTTCGCTGCGGTCATATTATGACCACGGTTGCACAATTTCAGATTTTTAATATAAGGTTGTAAAACAACATTAAATAAAGTACTGGTTAAGACAAAGTGATGATGATGTGACTATTCTATATTTATTGATCTTGTACATGTTTGTGTTAACAATAAATATATTTAAAATATATAGATTTTTATTATAGCAACCTGATAAGTATATAATACATACATACATATACAGGGTGACTGGTGAATTACTATCAATATTTAAGGAGCATACTCGGTACATGATTCTCATTCGAATTATGTAAAAAAAATAGGTACTTAATTTTTGACCAAATTTCCGTATAAATAAACAAAGTGTGTACACATTCCAAGTGTTCCTAGTGTGGACGCGTGCGGCGGCGTGCTGATACAACACCACGCCGTCGCACGCGTATGTGTGAGTGTGTGTGTATACCTAATCTGTAGGGTGTTCACACGATGCGTAATTAATTACATAACTTTTGGTTAACTTTACTCAGAAGTTTATGAATATTTAAGTTATATTAATTTTTATTTTGTCATATATGATCGTCAAATATCACGTCCTCAAGTATCGATAGTAATTCACCAGTCACCCTGTATATTTGGTCAAATCTGTTAACTCGTCATGAGGGTACAAATAACAAAACAAAACCTACACTAAAATTAATCAATTGGCGTTTATTAATTTTCAACTTTAATAGTCTTTATTAGTGTCATGTAACAAACAATTTATGTGAAAATAATATCAAATTCTATATTAATACAATCTGAATTTTCCAATATAAAATACGGTATAAAATTCATTAACTACATGTCTAGCAATTTTATTAATCTTTAATTATTAAAGTGCTCCAAGACAAACTAATGAGGATTAATTCACTTTTAATGAAAATAATAATAAAATTTAAAAACAATACATATATTATATCTACAAGTAAGAAATACAGCTATCTTTTTTTTAATAATTTTGTATGTAAGTCTTAATCAAGGAAATTTTAATTGAACAAATTTGGAATGATTGTCTTGAGCACTGCAACATTTTATATATTTTTTTATATTATCATGTTATTTCTATGAAAGGCAAATTGGCAGTAGTGTTGATGTCTTTATCCAAAATCTGATAAACAATTATTATTAGACATATTCACAAAGTCATATAGTTTTAAGATGTTTGAAATTTAAACTACTGAATTTTATATCATCCAAATAGAGAAATAAGAAATTAAAATACATAACTGAAACAAAACAAAATCAAAATAAAATGATTAATTTATTAAATATTTAACAAAGTGACAAAATATATTCATCTAATATAGCATTGCTGTACAATTTCGTTTCACTTTTATTTTGTGACATTTTGAATGTTAAGCAATCAGTAACATTAAAAATTAAAATTAATCAATGTTCTACATTTTTTAAAGAATTATCTCATTTAAGAAATGTATAAAACTAAGATATGAAAAACAAATTAAATAAGGGACTCAAAACTAATGTTAATTAACAAAATCAACTATTACACTTCACCGAAATTAGTATGTTTAGTTTCTTTAGCATGTTTCTGTGCTTCAACCTGTCCTGTAAGCAGTTTATTACAGATCATACATTTTAATGTGAATTTGTTCAAATCTGTGAATTGACGTGATGATTTCGCCTCCTTAGCTAATTGTTCCGCTTCCCTATATATATCCATATCCTCAGAGGGGAATATTGTTTGAATTCCACCCTGGAAAATATATTTATTATTTATACATACACAATAACAAGCACTATTTTCACAATAAAACAATTTCAATGGCTTATCAATGAATTATATTTAACTATAATACACAGTTCATTGGTAGTATTATTATAGCTACCTTCAACTTTATCAAGTAAACATATATTTACAATACTTACATCAGATTGTTCTAAGTATAATGGATCGTAGTGAACTCCATCAAATAAGAGAAATACTCTTTGACCATAATTCTTATCTTCGCCAAATCTATTTATTATAGCATTAAGTGTATCTACAACAGCCATTTCTAGACCATAGAAACGAGACAGAATCGCCACCTGCAATAATAGAGGATTATATAATATAAATCTTGTTGGTTAATAAATATATGTCATAGTAAAGTTATACTAATTCTTATAAGAGAGAAAATAAGAAAGCAATACAAATTACAAGTAACTTTTAAATAGCAATCTTTACATATTCATTTAGTTTTGATGAAAAGAATTTCTTTAATTTGAGAACTAAATTAATAGAAAGATATGAATATGTATGTAAAAAACCTTAATTTATATGCCTTATGTGTATAAGGGATGAATTTTAAAGTTTTTTTGAATGTACCTCAATCGCACCACCCCAAGAGCTGGGTTGTTGAATCCAAGCACAATATTCTGCATTAGGACGTCCCAAGACACCCTCGTTGTAGGTGTTATGGTCACTAGCTACTTCCATTGCAATAATCTGACGCATTAATGTATGGACTGTTGTATCTATATTACCATTTAATACAAAACCTGAAATCATGAATATGTTAGTATTATAAAAATTCTAATAAGAATTATTAATAAAAATATTTTTTAGTTATGTATATAGATTCAGGTATATGGACAATTTATTACGCATCGAGACGAATTTACATAATTACCTATACTAGTAAAGAGACAAGAGTTATCAGAAGGAACAACTTTTTTCATTAAAATCCCAGGTCTGCAGGGTCCTATTGTTTCGTGCGACACGCCATTCTCCACTGGCTTAGCGATGTCTGGTTTCTTATTTTCTGGTGCTGGTGCTGATTTCTCTTCGACTATTAATGACTCCCCCGTTTTTAAACCAATCTCAGTAATTTTTTTATTATCGTTACTAATGTCTAATGGTTTAGGTGGATATCCACACAATACGCAGATTCTTTCGGCGCTAACGTCCGATATACTCGAAAGAAACATTTTTAATTCACCCACAGTACTTTCAGAGGTCAAATCTTTCAATATCTGTTGACCATTTTTACTTTTAACTTTAAACGCTAAAGAAGTCATTGTTCTCAAATAACTCTCTTTAAATTATAAGTCTATATAAATAATTATTTAAATGGAAAAATATTCGTCACAAAGACGCCAAGAAAATATATGTGAAATAAATAAATAACATCACTTTATGTCGACGCTTGACTTTTAAAATTGACAAGTCACAAAAGCGGCTAAGCCGTAATCACTAACTGACAATGACGTTTTCGGTCTAGATAGCCAAAATAAAATTACGTTCAAGTTGTCTATGGTTTTTTTTACTGAAAAGCTTAATATCATTTGTAGGAAATTATCTATTTAGATTTTTAATTAAATTTTAAATTCCCAAAAAAATATAAATAATGTACTCTCTATCTTATGATCAGCACACGCTTAACTTTTTGGTAGTATTACAACCTGAATGTACAATTGGGTACAAACATACATATTGTTCACTTTTTGCCTTATAAATATCTAGCACTGTATACTTTATAAGGATTTTTTTAACTCTAGGCCAATATTTTTGATTTTTAATATTGATAAGCTTTAAAATTGGTTATTATAATAGATATAATAAAATAAAAGAGTTTGATTTTTAATAATTTTAATAAAAATAATATCATGACATTCCTACACGACATAAATATTTCCGCCTTAAAGTAAAAATATGTTTTGTTGTACACATTGAGTATTATGTATCAACTGATATTGATTTTGGCACACAAACATCATTCAAACGTATATTTTTATCGTCCTACTCCTAAAACATTCCTTACAGTATCTAATAATAATGAGTAACATACTTGTTTATTTCTCAATAAACGCTTCCTGACCAAAGACTATTAATTATTTGAAGTATGAGACTTTTATGTTTAAATACTTCATAATATTATTTATACATAAAAATAACATACACTGAGTAAATTAAAAACGGAATTGGTTGAAAAATTGGAATAATTTTAATTTAATTATTACAATTTAAATATTATGCTTAATTAACTTAAATCTACGTGTATTGTCATATATCTTGTTTCGTAAAATTATTTAGTTAGTCAAAATTTCTTAAAAACAGAGAAAACGTTGTCTTATATTACAAACATGAAGTTTATTTCGTAAGTACATTCTACTTATAATCATACACTTCAAAAATCAAAGTATGTATTTGAAATTACAATATAAATAAATGGCACATATTATTATGTAACTGCTACTATCGATAAATCTTTGGTTGTTGTAAAAGATTTATACACTTACACTATATAAAAAAAATTACAATATTTTCTTAATTAATGTATTAAGAGTATTCAATTGGTAACTACATTAAGTATTAAGTCTATTCCTACGAATAATTTATTTACATTTACAATCAGTCATATAAAATTATTTCAAATTGTATTTTTGACTTCATAGAATACGTAAGGATATAAAAACAAAGGTATTACCATAAGACTAGCCAGATAAAGTATTACAATTTAAATAGGCTTAAACTATTGAAAACGGGAAAGATTAAGAAGGTATACATTTGTATTGATCGTTAGCTATTTAATTTTATGTCAACATTCTACTTCAATTTGAGACTATTATTACTCTTTGGTATTCTTTAAAGTATATGATAAATCTAATATGGCAATGCGATAGCTGAGTGCGTTTTTAAAATGGTCTCGGTTTGACACGATTGGCGTTTCTATGTTGCCTGTGTCTATGACGTAATGGCCACCGTCACGTGGGCCGGCGAACGAACCGCGGTAAAGGAGCGCGGAGACCTCTCCTACCTAAAACTAGTGGTGGCATTTCTTCGTCTTCTTCCTCGTCCAAATCTTCTCCGCCTTCCGAACTATCTTCTCCACTCCACACGTCAGGTTTCACAGCCTCGTATGATGCGGAAAATCCTTTGAATACTATAGAATCATCCGTACGGAATCGCAGTAGGAGAGCCTCTGTCGTAGAAACTATTTGGGGCGGCATCTAGTAGGAATTATGTAACCAATTTAGTAATATCCTTAAATAAACAGATAGACGTCAATGACGATAGACGTCAGTGTCAACTAGTCTGGATTTAGTCTTGCCATAAATTAGTTCGAAGATACCTTTTTTATTGTTGTTCGTAATGTTTATTATTATTTAATTTTTTTATTGTTAAAAACATTGAAAATATATGAAACTTTTTCAAAGTGGTCTCCCTTTGCTGCTAGTCAGTCCTTGAAACCACTAGCCCACTTTAACCCAGAAATCTAAAAAAAATGCTGAATAAACACCTAAAGACAGTTCCAAAGACAATTTCCGACACTAACCTTGGATCCGCAAAAGCTTCCGTAATCACCAGCACTGCCTTCCAAACCACCGAACACTTGAACGAAGTCATAACCACAGTTAGCTTCTGGTTCCAACTCGAACGTAAGAAATGTAAGTCGTACGAACTGTCCTAGTGGCGCCACAATGCTCCAATCACAGTTAGCTCGCGACTCGTACGAGTCATGACCGTATCTAGCATGAGAGTACAAATGCTTCACTGTCTCTGATGCTGACAAATAGCCTCCGCAAGCTGAAAAATAGTTACAAACGTATTGAATTCTAAAATTATAATGTACGCCACTAACTATACCTACTAGTTAAGACTAAAAAATTACGTTTTAGGATTGGCAATACTGAAGATCAAATAGAACATCCTTAAGTCTTGGAGTTTGAAACATTAATAAACTATTTAAAGTCACCTTATTAATTATTATAGTTGTAAGGTTAAAAAATTACGTTTTAGGATTAGCAATATTGAAGATCAAATAGAACATCCTTAAGTCTTCGAGTTTGAAGCATTAATAAACTATTTAAAATCACCTTATTAATTATTATATTTTGTATAACAGTCAATTAGTTTCTATTAATTTAAAATAGTCACGCTTTTGGACCTAATAAAAGCTCTAATACAATGTGTTTGTGATTTACCAGTGGAATAAGTAGCTAGGAACCCTTTTCTCTGCACAGAAGCGTCTGATTTGAACACTACGTACATCTGGTTCTGTGACGCGACTACTGGATGGGGAAGTTTGCTACCACAGAATCTACCCAAAGTTTTTTCATCAGCCGAAGCTCCGTCGTAGATTGTTACGTGGTCGTACGTACATTCCTAGGATAAAGAAAATATTTGTTTGTTATAAAAATATGTACGTATTCTCTAATTTGACATAATCCACTCACACATCCTAATACAAATCATCAAATAGTATCTCTCTTTCTTAGCTATTGGCGACTTCTTATAGATTTTGGGAAATTAACGGTTGAATATTAAAAGGAACTATGAAAAGGGGCTTTTATGAATGAACAAGGTATCGACTAGATACTAAGAATTTTGATACTGCTGAGATCTTTTACTGCGGTGTAAGATGTTGATATATATTAAATAGTTAGAAAAATCAAATAAAATACACATGTCTTTAACTTATGATAGCATTTCAATTTGATAAGAAATTCGTTTCTTCTAGCATTCATCTTTATATTTATAAAAAATCGTGTCACGTGTTTGTCCGCGATGGACTCCTAAACTACTAAACAGATTTTAAATTTGATTTGCTTTCCGTGTGCATTTTGATCCAACTTGAAAGATATGATAGATTATATCTCAATTTATAGTCACAATATTATTTTATTGCCAATTCTATTAAAGAAAATTATTTGTCATTATTACAATTATCTGTTGACTGAGTTAAGTAAGTATTAAATAGGTGGCGCTATGTTAAAAATACAAACGTCATATATGAGCGACTATTTAATAATAGCATAACCACCACGTGTTTCTGAGGCTATTTTATTAAAAAAACGTAACAGACATTTCTATATTATAGGGCGATACGAAGTTCGCCGGGTCATCTAGTATTTGAATATAAATTTTAATTTAATTTCGTAACTTACTTCTAACTTACTAGCAATCTTTCAATATTGATGTGTTATGTTAGCAACTATAATGAAAACTAAATTCTGTTTTATACCTGATGTGGCTCCAACTCAAACACGTTAAATATAAGCTTGATGCGATGTCCTGGGGTAGTAGAAAACTGCCACACGCAATCTTTCCGTGATGGATACAAGTCTGGGTAGTTTGGACTGGAAATATGTATATATAAGTATTAAGTATACATTTTAAGGCCGGTTATATTTAAATATTTTTTGCAGAAACGACTGAAATTGCGTAATTATTTTATAGATAGTGTTGTAAGCATTCTTATAACAAATGCAATTTTTATCCAGCATACGTAATGTATATAGTCCTGTTTATGTAACAGGGCAGTGATTCATGAATTGTATTTAGATCCGGTAAGAAATGAATCTTGATTTTTTTTTCATTTTTCTTTAAAAACCTATTTAGAAATTTATGTATGTGTGAACTAATTAAAATAATTCCAAATTCTAATTTCTAACTATAATATATAAAGCTAAATTAATGAAAACAATATATATAAAAGAACATTGAAAACAGAAGTTTATGTTGTCACCTAAATATGGTTCCGTGTGGGTGCGTGATGTCATGTTTGCACCCGCCTTCCTTACAGTCGTGTTTGTTGGGGTGCAGTGTGAAGCCACTGTGACACGCGCACTCATATCCGCCGAGAGTGTTGTGACACTCGTGTTCACAGCCGCCATTGTTGTCTGCGCACTCATCAACGTCTATGTAATACGCGGCCGCGAAACCAGAATGATGTACGGAAGTGTCCGATGTGAACTGAAAATTGGATTATTTTGTTTGTGAACTACCTTCAATGATGATTACTAAAACTATGAAAGACACTAATAACATATAAATATCATAGCTGTTAATGTAAGAGATGTGAATGCAATATAGAAAAAAAAAAAATTAAAATAGCGCAAAAACAAACGGGAAAGTTTGATCGTATTATTGTCTATGCTATATCTATGACAGTCTTTTTAACATTAAAGTATATATTAACAACTGTTCCTGTAACAACTATAGTAGTATACCTGTACTCGTAACACTGATCCGTCCGAGGTAACAGGCGGAGGGACCACTGACCCACAGAAGGCTCCGTGCCTCCGTAACACGTCAGCGCCGAGTCGCGAATGTACCGTTACACTATCGTATTCACACTCCTGGTACGGGGGAAATAGATTTGTATTCCATATTTATTTAAATGAGTGCGATGTAACGTAATTATTACTATATATCAATTAATTATCAGTTAAATATATATTTATGTCTATGTGTTTAGATGTTTAATTCATTTTTATTGTATTTGTTCCCTTTGACCATTCCGTTGTCATTATTACCACCCTATTATTATTTAATTAACAGACACCTTGAATTAAAAAAAAAGTGTACTTTATTTCATATTTAATAATTTATCATCTTATTCGGTAAGCAGTAGATATAAGCATTTTACATTAACGTGTCCTCTGTTAATAATTATCATAAATAAAAATAATGTTCTTTGTATGTATTTCATGAAAATCTAAATGATCATGAAAGGTTTCAATTTGATCGCGTGACGATCTCGTAACATTTCCGTCATTTTGCTCTCAGACCTCGTCTAGGAGATGTAAGTTTTAATGGTTTAATCGTTCGACTAGTTGAAACGACTGTGTATTGTGTGGAACTCAGTTTTACTACGTAGTACATTAGTGTAAATTGGTTTATTACCTGGTGATACATATTATTGCTGCCTTCTAGATCGAAATGTGTGAAGTTTAGAGTGATTCTGTGTTGGGGCGGTGCTACGATCTCCCAAAGGCAGTTCTTTGATGCTGGATACAAGTCCGGGAATGACGGTGAAGTTATTGTACCGTTTGGAGCGTATAACACACCGCCACATGCATCTAGAATAAATGTATCATAAAAATGTTTATATGATACTATTCGCAATAGAATACGTATGCTGCTTTGTATTGGAAACAAGGAAATATTGTGGAATAAATTTATAGAACATAAATGGTAACTTCAACATTGCTAACCATATAAATATAGTTAAAAAGACAGGTGTATGAACATATTAAAAAGATATAACTACAGTACAATATATAAATATAATTAAATAACACACAAACTGTATGTAGTAAAACAAGGTATTTGTAAATCCTACTAATATTATAATTGCGAAAGTTTGTGAGTGTGTGTGTATGTTTGTTACTTCTTCACACTATAACGGCTGAACCGATTTTGATAAAATTTTGTATACAGGAAGCTGACGTCCAGGAATAACACATAGGCTACTTTACATCCCGGAAATCGGCGGGTAACACCGCGGGGTGCAGCTAGTAATATAATAATGGTGGCCACTCACTCTCGCATTTCTTTCCATCTGAATGCAACTCATAGCCAATATCACATGCACATTCATATCCACCGAGAGTGTTGACGCAGGAGTGACTACAGCCGTGGTCTATGGAGGTGCATTCATCGTATTCCTTCATGAAGGTAGCTGAGAAACCGGCTTTCTGTACCGAACTGTCAGACTCGAAGATCACGAGCAGTTTGTTTGATGTTGACCTTGGGATGAAATTATTAACTTAGGCCTAATTTTGTTTGTTTTTTAATCACTGCTCTAGCTAGTTTTGAAGTTGCATTTTAACTGCATAATATGGATTTGTAAAAATTAATTGCACTGTAATTGTAGACTTTCTTATATTTTGCAAAAATAACTGAACTGATTTTGATGCAGATTTTACTTACATAACTATTATGCTTACATGTTATAACGGACCTATAGTTTAGTTAAGGATATAGTTTGTCTCAAGAATTTTGAGGATTCGAAAGAAAAGTTTCGAAAACAGCAAAAGGTTGAAATTTAGATTTGAATACTGTGACATTCATGGAATTGAAAGCGATTTATTACTGAATTGTGATTACCTTATGTCAGGAGGAATCTTATGTCCACAGAACATCCCTATCAAGGGACTGTCCATTGAATCTCCGTCTCTTACTTTTACTTTATCATAATTGCAGGTATCATGGTTTTCCACTTCAAATGAATGGAATCGTAAAGCTACTTGGTAATCCTGTGAATTGGGTATTAAATTATTATTATTGAGGCTTCTTTTTATTTAGGTATTAACTTAATTGTATTCTTTACTCACTTGTGGTACGGAAAGTCTCCAAATGCATAATTTATTTGGATGATAATCATCAGGATAGTTCGGTGATTCTAGATGACCACTGCTATCAACTTCTATATCTCCGCCGCATACAGCTGACATAATATGAATTAATATAAGATAAAAAATATCTTTAATTTGTCCACTTTCAACAAAATATATGTGAGGAATTTTGTAACTATTGGTATTATGTTGCCAGTAAAATGTTAATTTGCGAACATTTCGATTATACATATTTTCTTAAATTCTAAAGTATGCCAGAATTATAAATAAGATAAAACAAGTTGTGAGTTATTGAAATACATAGATACAAATATCAATTTCTTTCATGACAAACTGGCATGTACAATTTGATTATTACATATTATTCATATACCTTCATAATGGGCTCTAAATCCTCTGTGAGGTTTGGATCTCGTCCCCGGCTGGTAGACCACTGTTAGTCTGGAACCCGTTGATCTCATCATTGGTCCTTTCCCTGAACCACATATACGACCAAGAACTGGTGCGTTTGGCATATAACCATCCCTTACTTCCACCCATTCTGATCGGCAACCATCCGATTTGTGGATATCTATCTCTGTTGAAGATACGAAACCTCTTAGCATTCAATGGATTCACGGTGGAAGTACCGGGTCCATTGCGTTGCAGGGAGAGGAGCTTCAACAGTGCTTGGGACTTGCGACCCAGGTGTAGGTTTAAGGGGGTCCCTAATAACACACGTTAAACGACCACCTCTACTGTCCAAGCTCCTCTCCCTACCTAAACAAATTTGAAAAGAATCTATTCCTATAAGATAACAACTATAATAACAGAGACATTTTTATTTTTTATACATTTTTGATATTACTGTATTATATACCACAATGTTTAGATATAATTTCTGATCCACTTGTAACTTTTCACACTTTGAATGTGATGTACTAAAATAATAGCCTCGCGAGGAAAGCGTTTGTTTTAAAAGCTTTTTCAGTACGGAACACTCCATAACAGTATCAAACACTTGCAAGTTTTTTACTTGATACTAACGGGAGTGAGAACACTCTAAATACCTATTGCGTTATAAGTATCAGACTGAGGGCTGCGTTCATTCAAGGCTCTAGAAAATAAACAACTTTCCTTTCAGTAGGGAAGTAAAAACATTGAAAGTAAAAGAAAGGCGAGACCTGAATAGCTTAAGGATCTTAAAGAGGCCTTGTCTAAATAATGACGTAAATGGCATTTTTCGTTTCAAATAATTTTAAAGAATTTTTTTAATTTGTAAACTTTTTTGGACCTATATTTGAAGCCTAAAATTGCTGTTTTCATAAAGCTAACCTCAACCTTTGTAATTCAAACTTTAAGCTGAATTTTGGAATATTTTAGGTATTATGAAAACCAAAAGAGCCACAGTCTAAACCATTTTGTCTACTTTAGCTAATTGGGTATATATTTTATAGATGTAAATTGTTCAAAATACTTTAATATCAGTTTCTGAGATTGATTCAAGTAGCAAGTGAATTCTTGAAATAGTCGCTCATCAACAAACAGGCTGACTGTGAAACTTTTCTAAGTAATAAGGATCGAGTCAAGTACAACCCTCGTAAACCAAGTAGCGATAATTTATTACCTCTCTTAGAAAACCAATTCATTTTGGACCCTCTTGCTTTCAATTCTTCATCATTGGTCTAATAAGAGATAAATGTTGTGTAAACCGAGGGATTCTGTTATAGTGGATGTGTTGACTGACCAAATGTACAGCCTTTTGTTCTCACAATTTGTTATACTCATTGTGAATATTTTTAGATATATCGACATTTAAGCAGTTGGTATTTTGAAATATATTTAAACAGAGAAATTAACATAAAAATATAAATTACTGTAACTAATAACTCTTTTTTTAAGAAGAATATTTAAAGATTCTCTTAAAGAAACAAGACGTAATGTTTTGGAAGCAACGAATTATTTCTTCCATTACAAATACATTTTATGTCGATTGAAGTAAAATTGAAACTAATATAATCGTTCAACTGTTACGAAAATTGATAGACAGAAATTCTATAATAATAGGTTCGTTATTATCTGCAGGATATCGGATTTGTAGACTTAAAACGGGTTCAGCTTATAAATCAATTTAATATCCGAATACTCTAAATGTTTGAGACAGATATATTTGTAATATAATATTTCTTTGTATATTTTCAGTATTGTTAAAGCTTTAAATTGGTCTCATTTTTGAAATATTGTTCTATTTATGGATTTATTTAAATGTATTGTATGTTTTTGTTAACAGTGATATTTTTTAGATGACGATTATAAAGGACTTGCTTTCTTATAAAAAAATAACAGGTAGTATCTGACCCTATTATTTATAAAAATACCTTCTTCATAAGTCAGATAACGCTTACACGTATCGTAAATTTAACAAGCTGATAATATTATTTCTAGTATAAAGAAATACTATTAAATTCAATGTACTAACATTCCATTAGAATATATAAAAGGTATTTAAATTACGCTTCAAGGCACAACGCTCCATTTACTAATAGCTGTTGCTTTTATATAACATAGTTCAAACATATACCATACAATTATTTGGAGAAAATTTATACGATCTTCTACCTTTATATGAATAAATCTTGCGTAAATAAAATTAACGATAATTTGTTATACGGATTTTAATACCAATTTTGAATTCATTTAAACAGGGATTAGGTATATACACGTACTGTGTGAATCGGCAGAATCAAAGCTTGATTGGTAGCGTTCGACGTTGTCCTTTTCACCCCGGCCAAATACACCTTTATATATATATCCTCCTTTTCAAGTTTCAATTCAATGGAATTAAAAATGGCCGAATATAAAAGTCTTTTTTTTACCGTTCCGTTTGTTTTTTTTTTAATTGATTTACATTAAAAGTTATCTGTTCGATTTACTGTACTTTTAATAACTACTGTTTAGGAATTAGTTTTAATTGTATATTCTTATTACCACTATTAGTTATTACTATCTCCAAAAAGGAGCTATTTACACAATTTTAATTTAACAAATTTTTTATAGTAACTAACTCCATATATATAACTATACATACCCATTTAAAAAGAAATTTAAAACTACTATAGTTAAACTAAACATCATAAAAATGTACACATAGGTTTTAAAAGTACATATTTTTCTATCACTAGCCATGAATATATAATGACTAGTTAAAATATTACACATATATAATGAAAGATCATTTCTCATTTTAATAATTTTCGTATCATATTAAAATGGTAGTAATCATGGTGGCCCAGTTGTTAAAGGTCCGCCTCTCGTGCATGAAGGCGCGGGTTCGAACCTTGGCAAGTACCAATGTGATTTTTCTGAGTCATATGTACATTGTACATGCCAAGAGGATTAAGACACCACTAACAGATGGTGAAGAAAAATTTCGTGAAGAAACCTGGACTTATAATTTCAAATTATAAGATTGAAATCACCAACCCACCTTGAACAAGGATGGTAATTAATGCTTAAATATTCTTTATTTGAGAAGAGGTTGATGGTGTGGTGATTAAAATGATACACCAGTCAAATAAGTACCATAGTAAATAATGAATCAGTTACGAAGCATTCTTAGTAATAAAGTATAATTAATACTTTATAATACCTACCAGTTATATTTAGCACGACTCGTTCTCCGTGAGTCGCCACTATTCTCCATTCGCATTTCTCAGCTGTTTCTGGAGGTGTTTCAGAACCCCAGCCGGGTGAATTAAACCAGCCTGAATTACCAAGGAACGTCTTCCCACATTCTAGGAATAAATAATATTGTTTAATGTATGAAAGAATTTATCCATTTATCAGATCTATATTATAATGAGATCTTTCTTTCGTAAGTTTTATTCATTTGAAGAAACTTATATCTCTCGAATATACTACGCGTGCTTTATTTTCGTAAAAAACTACATACTCTCGACATTTCGGCTGCTTTTCAGCAACCGTGATCATAAAGCACACGTAGTATATCCGAAAAATATTAGTTTCATTTAGATCTATATTATGTTTCGTAAATAAAATTACTCTTTTATATGTTTCAGATAACTTTGATTGTAAATATTATTATGTTTTTCTGATACTAGTATGTATTTTTAGCAATAAGAGATGCTATTAAAAAAAAAAAAATACACAATTGGTTCCATTAATATAAAAATAGATTTTTTTGTTCTATTAAAGTTTTTATTCCATTCAAATGCAATATATGTCAATAGAACACTTACTTGCACATTTATATAGTAAGTTAGTCTGAGCTATGTCACTCACACTCAATCTCACTCTCTGTCCTATTTCTGGTCTCTTCTTCCCATGCACTTCCAGAGGTAGAATCGTATCTAAGAACGTCCCTTTACTAAAAGTGTTTCTGGCATAATGCATGATTGAATCATAATCGTAAGTCTGTCCCAACGAATTTACTTCTTCTTCTGTAAGCTTATTAAAATTGTACTCTTGCCCTGAAATTATAACGACAGTTAAAGCTTTTAATTCTTTGATTCTATTTAATGTTCAGATTCAGATTAAATCATGATTAATTATAAATCTTTTAACTAGATATAATTTAGAATCGTCGATTACAAAAGAGCTGAACTGTCTCAAGTTGTTCATTCATCAAAACATCTATAACCCCACTCAGAGCATCAGGTAAAAGTATTAAACTTGCGGAAACTTGCGAGCACTCCAATAACATTGGGAGCGGATTCAGGAAAATTAATTTCGAAGTTTATATAATCCTCGTTTGAAACTTGCATTCGTCTGTAATTGATAACAAATTCTATTTGTTCAATATTAAGTTTTGAAGAAGAGCTCGCCGGCCACAATATGATTACGATTTAGGCATTTTAATGTTGTTCTATATTGTAATAATTCTTTAATATCCTGGTTTATCGTAAATTTTATAATTCCTCGGAGTTATACAGTTTCCCATTAAAGGAAAACTTCAAAGTAAACTCAATTAAGAACCAATGTTGGATACTTTGAACTCGACTCCTTACAAATTTCGAAATTGACATAGATTAAAACTGATGACAATAACCTTATAGTTCCTTATCTCCGGCAATTAAAATATGAAAATTTAAAGTAATACCAACCATAAAACAACCTGTTAAGGTTGAATTTTGTAAACCTGTAATACAATTTAAAATATTGTATGTCTAGAATATCAAGGTGGTGCTTTTCGTTTCAATTTATGTTTAAAATACGAGTTAAGGATATTTAATCAAAACATACTTTGAATACGTCCTTTAACTTGTCATTCCGTTTCCTTTTGTATTTCTTGTTAAATTTATTCAGCATGAATATTGTAGGCATTTTTGGATTAATTCTCTCATTATCAACTAATTGAACAACTGTTTATCATTTTATATTATTTCGATTCAATATTTCTCGCCTAAACAAAGTAGCAACATTGCTTTAACGGGTCCTTAATATAATAAAGGTATTTTAGCTTCGCTGTTATTTACTAGCAGTAATTAATTTACTGTAGACAATATCGTATGAACTAGACTGTTGCAGGTTGCTACCTAAAACACAAGTCTCTACAACTTGATTTACTCCAAAGTCGGTTAGGGTTCTTCATGTATTTTTTGACCTTAACCTTTGGGATCTCTGTCACTTATCATTTAGCGTAAACATTTAATTTTCTCTATTCATCCGTCAGTATGATAGTGTTTTAACATAAATGAAATCATCACAGTATATAATGTGTCCAATTCCTCGTAATCAATTCCCATATTTTATATTCTTTCACTTCGACATTGAAAAATAGTTTAATTGATGCACCTTAGACTGTATCTTATCTTATCTTTATATAAGGTTAATAATTATTGACAATATCAGTTGTAATTACATCATTTAATCCTTGAGGTCAGTTACCAATCAGTTGGTATAGCAACAACATTATGATAGTAACATTTTATGTATTTATAAGAAGTGGGTTACTTCCGGATACAAACAAGATTCGTGTCATGACGTGACTCAGAAAAAAGTCGCGAGAATATTTAGTTATAGGTCAAAGACATTGTGTCAGTGATACCAGTATGAACTGATTACGAGTCTTATGTGTAATGAAGCCGAATGGTAAAACAATAAGTTTAGTGTGAGTTACCAATGTGATGAGAATATCGATCGTTTTTTGTTTTTTTTGTTCATAAATATGTCTTGTTGAAGTATGTTAGAACATTACTTGAGAGAACATTAATAATAGAGAACATTAACTTGATCTCCGTTTATATACAAGTATGTATGATTTACAAAACAAGATATACATTTTATTTAACCAACGTAAGCAGACACGATGTCACTACTAAATGAACTACCACCAAAAAAAAAGGGAAATCAAATGACCATTCGTATACACCCATTCATTACTAAACACCTTTTTTATATTGAAAAATAACACAAGCAGACGATTCATCTTATAGTAATTAGGTGCCGTAGTCCTTGACAATACAATTTCCCTTCTATGTGGTTAACAGAAAATAAAGATGCTGAAACGCATTCACAAAGATATAAAGCTACTTGTTTACTTGTTATAAAATACCATTATATAAAGTTATGCAACTGAGACGCACCACATTCGGGTCAAGTGCAGGCTTGAAGGGACACAAGGACGTTACGCACTTCGCACAGATCAAGAATATGACCTCTTCAAACAGCCATTCTGTTTTATTTTCGTTATAGACATACATTGTAGGTTAGCATGAGATTAATACTCGGGATCAAATGTCTTTAATGGGATGAAATGGCCGCGGTTGACCTCCAAATATATTGTATAAATAATGTAATAAGCCTCGGTTGACCTGATTTGCGTGTAATAATTTGTTCTTGAAAACTAAACTCATGACACCCGGCCATTATGTTATATCATTATTAATGTATTCTTTTAATTCGCATGTATATAATAAATGATGTAATAAAGTTTACAAAATACTGTGTTAATTTAATTATCTAAATTGAAATGTATGTTCAAAATTAATTTATGTCATTCTGTGACATTGCGTGACGTGCTATAGAACCTGAACCCTCGCGAAATATATGTACATACATAGATATACATTAAATATAAGGGCGTAAGATAAATTGTTTTCAAAACCGTCTCAACTAAGATTTTAATTACAATCAAACAGTGTCAGTTAATTACATTATTTAGATTATTTGTTGAAACAATACGAAGGAGTTTGCCTCTATAATAGCATTAGTGAGAGCTATGATTTTATTACATCACGGAGTTCTAACCCTCGAATGGACTGTTTTAGTCAAATTATAACTTACTTGCCAAAGATATCTGGAAAATCAATTCAATCCGATACCTACAGATTGGATTTAGTCTTAAAATTATTAAATTGTTTCAATTTTGAAGCCGTTTTTATTCTAATATACTCTAACTTTGCACTGGAACGAGGAGTTTGAAATACGATTACAACCGAGCGGCAGCGTTCAAAAGTTTTGTTCAATTGTTAGTTGTACGTTAGAACTACTTTTAATATTTATGTAGTACAACGTGTAACACGATACATACACAAATATTATTATATTTAGAAATTCTTTTATATGCTTTAAAACATCTATGGTACTTTCTAGAATATTTATTATAGGAATGGTAGCGTATGTGGAAAATTCACTTAGGACTCACCAGTCATAATATTATCCCGGATTATTTGAACATGTCTGTCCCGGTCGGGTCGAGTGTGTTCGTGCCAGAAGCCGACCACGTGTCCCAACTCGTGGACCACAATCCCAAACTTGTCACAGTTCTTTCCGATCGATATAGCTTGAGCTCCATTGCCGCGTTTTCCAACGAATGAACAACATCTGAAAGGAACTTATTGGTTTAAATAGTATTAATGTTTTTCGAATTACTACGCGTTATTTTATTATGTTTGAAAACTGCATACTCTTAACGTTTCGGTTACTTTGCAGCAACCTTGATCACGTACAGACGTTATGTGAAAATATTGGTTTTAATTGAGGACAAATACTTTATACTTACATCACTGAAACATGACTAACAGATACCTTAGTTGGCAGTTAAATTTGACAGTTTTATCGGCCAATTAATACTATACAAAGTTAATGCTAAAGAAGCTATATAATTCTTAAACTGATTATTACTTTTATTTCTACATCTAAAGGAAATTATTAAAAGAAAAGTTAATACTATTAAAGTTAAACGTGAAGTATGCAAAAATTCATTCATTCGGTAATTATTTTTTAAATAATCAATAAAATTGAAGGTAATTTACCAATTTAATGCACATGATCAGAACATTTTTTTTTAGATTAAAATGACCGTTGTTGAAATTTAAGTGTATCTTTAATCATAAATTATTATATATTTTATAATTTAAAGCATAATATTTCATATGTATTCGTCAAAATGAATTTTAATGCAACGTTTAGTTAATTATATGTATTAAATTTTAAATTATCGTTTGTGCGTCATGAAATTTGTTTCAAACGTCGAAAATAATACCGGTGAATGTTAACGAATTCATGTGGCCGAGTAATTTATCCATCAAATCCTGTCATGCAAACCTATAATTTGATCATTTATGGAATAAATTGTTTGAAATTGGACTAATTTTTTAACCGTCTGCATGTTGAATCATTTAAATGCAACTAAACAACATCAAAATATTAAAAGAAGAACAGTGAACCTATGTTTATATATAAATTATCAAATTCAACCAGACAATATATATGGAATCTTCCTTCTGTCAAAATAACAATTTATCACATGTAAACCAAAACATGTCATTTACCCGCACGGTCGTTCTGTGAACACAATGTAATCCCGATGTAATTCAGCATCCCTTTCAACGAATTTGACGCAAGTGAAATTCTCCCAATGTCTCATAGCCTGCTTGAAAAGAGATTTGTGAGCGCCACTGAAGTTACCGTCGATTTCATATGGAATGACACCGTTCTCCCAAATACGCTCCTTCCTGTTCGTAGCGGCTCTGGCCGTGCGATGTTTTCTTCTCATCTGATAATAATAATGATTTCGTTTGATTAACTATTTAGAAACATTTAAATTTAACACTAGAAAGGGAACTGGAGTGTAATGAATGTTCAACAACATCGGCTTACGCTTAATAAAATTTTTGTTAAGTTTTTTATAAGCTAACTTATCGCTGTGAGTTTTCGTAACTATAGAATACATTAAAACTTCAGTGCCGTTGTGCCTGAGGCCTGCCGCTGTAAAAGGGACTTTCTGGAAGTTTTTCAATTTGTAATTTTATACGTGTAAGTTAGGAAATGACTCGGTACTTCAAAAAAAAAGTATTCCATGCTTTTCGTCGTGAGTTTTGTGTAATTTATCGCGTAAGTGCTATTAAGTTATTTTCTTTAATAAAATATAAGGGAAAAATATCATCCAACATACGGGAAAAAGTTTGTTGTTGTTGTTTGTTATCGTTCCTTACTTATCTTTTTAATTAATATAATTAAATGTTACCTCTTCTTAAATAAGAAATATTTATAATTAATGTCATAAAACTTTTTAATTACCTGTGTATGATTATAGTAATGACTTCTATGGTGACGAGTTTCGCTTGCTTCTAAATCTTCTTCAGAGTCCCGAAAAAACCAGCCATTAAACGATTGATCCTTAGTTTCATTGAACTCATTTTTTGGAGGCGCTTTTAGTTCGAATTTATCATAAAATTCATGTTCAGGCAGTTGTATGGCTGGTTCATGTTGGTTTAAATCGTTCGCTTTCTCGTGACGAAGGTCTGATTTTTTAAATTCTAATCCATTTTCTTCACCTGAATTTCTCACCACATTGTGACCTTTTCGTTCACTGGATTGAATATTTCTTAAGCTGTAAAATAGAATTCTATCAACAAGTTTTAAATGAAATAATCTATGTTTCCACATGCCACATATAAATATATTCCCTATATTTTTTTGTAGAACGATTATATTAGCCATAAACTTATAATTCCGCGGAATCGTTCAATTTGTTTTGACAACGGATTTCCTTTAAAAGGCATCTCAAAAGCTACGTTAGCTGTTCGAGAGTAAAAAGCTAGACTCGTCAATAAGGCTAATGAATGGAAGTGTATGCAGTTCTCGTTGCACACATATAATTCAGTTAACGCCGCTTAGCGCACTGCGAAATATAACTGCGGCGCTGAGAAATTAATTTCATAATCTACTCGAAGGAAGTGACACCAAAACTCGATTAATTTTAATTTATGTCTATGAATAATTTTTTGATTGATATTGCTATTTTAATAATAGAAAGCACTTTAGGTATCATTATCGTGTAAATAAATAAAAATATATTTATATTCATAAGCGAGAGATACAAACCAAAATTATTCCTTTCACAAAATACATACATATTTGATTTCATTATAAAAATAAAAATGTGGCAATATTTTCTTTAAATAATTATAGTATATTTTCCATCATTGCATAAACGGTTTGAAAGTTTTTAAAATATTTCTATAAGTGCATAAAATCAAAGTTAAAACAGAAAGCATTACTTGGAACTCCATTTAATTTAGTAAATAATTTGCGAGAGTAGAGTAATGGAATTGCTGAGATAACATCCCATTGTCAATAGAAGCCTACATTAAATAAGAAGCATAACTTCAATAAAACAAAACAATTATTCTAGATATTAAATATTTCACTATACCGTCTCCCGTTCCCGTGTCTTCTTCTTCGTCGTCTTTTATGACTTGAAAGATTTACAACACTTTGTAAACTCTCTGTGGGTTTTAGTAGATCATTGATATTGTAATTTGCATTGAGCTCTTGGTTCAATTTGGTAGCCTTAATGACACTCTCATTGTCATCTTCATTTGTAAATATAACACCGTTGGTAGGAGCAGGAGCAACCGTCATGTTCTCTGGTAAGTCTTTGAGTTTGAAGTTATTATTGTCTCCTGTTATTTCACGACTGTTGCTTTGTATTTTGTTTGTAACTTCATCCATTTTGTTTGAAAAGTTTGACAGTTGTATATTTGGATAAAATTCATCAAGATTCAATATATTATCAGTTGAGACATTAACAACTAAAACGCCATCCTGTTCAAGACTTTCAGATTCAGTTAAGTTGTCGGTTATACTTGATTGGTTTAAATGACTATCCCTACTTTGATTGCCCGTGTGAATACTATCTAAATCTTCTCCAGGTGGAATTTTACCATTTTTCATCAATATTGATTTATCTAGCCCCGGTGGAATGACCTAAAAGAGTACAAAATATATATATTTTTTAAATTTGACGTTTATTTTTCTTTCTATTCTGCAAATTGCTAACAAACCTTTGTTATAACTGTAACTTCGTTGAATTTTTTCGGTTTTTCTCGTGATATTGGTGTAGGCTGCTTGGTTCTCTTTCTCAATATATCTGGTAAACCCTCTTCTTCAACTTGTAGCCCTTCTAATAGAACTTCCTTTTTAAGTCTTTCTACTTCTTCTTGGAGCGACTTATTGATTTTAGATGTTGTCGGGGCTGTGTTTGCTGGCTTAAAATAATCTATATCAGGTATAGCGATATCTCCTTGAAAATTTTCTGTAACAAAAGATATACGTAGATATTAAAGTAGATATATTTTAAACATATTTTGATATATACATGATAAAATATGTAATTACAAATTTATGGAATATGACAATAAATGAAGGTCAGTTTACAATAAAGGAATAGTCGTATATAACATAAAAATTTCACTCTTAATCTTAACCATTATTATCAGGACGATTAATTCAATACAATACGAATGAGATTTCCACCGTGTTTTAAAGTCATCCTGGTTTTATTGCGCTTTAATGTATAGAGATACTACGAAGTGCCACTATTATCTCAACAAATGTCTTGTAAAAGGTTTCTTAGCACGTACTTAGGAAGGTTTTTGAATGCTAATATGTATATTATTTTATATTTTATTATATCGTTTTTATTTAACTACATATTTCAATTCGATTCTAGTAACTTCGTGGTAATATATGGAAAATTAACGCTAAGAAGATTTATTTAAGCCTTATTTTAATATAAATAACAATATGTAGAATATCTTTAAATCATAGTTTTTTAACAACGCCTTTTATGCTGATCAATGATGTAGTTAAATCATTAAGTACTTTCTTTTTATTAAAATATGTATATAATAAGAAGCTCTAAAATATATTTGTGTATTTTATATAAATTATGTTTAAACATTCCTTATAAATAAAAATACAGCGTGTTTTATTTTGCTTGTATACTTTGTAAAATATAAATAATAAATGGTATGAAAATAAAATAATTTATAGATTAAAAGAGGAGAAAAAAAGGAATAAATATAAAAATAATATAATAAAGTAAAAAAAATGTATATTAATATAAATAATTTTTGAATAATATAATAAAAGTTGATTAAATAAGTTAAAAAATAAAATTTGTTGTAAGTAAATATATAGAATTTTATATGATATGTAATATTTTGGTTGGGTTGGTGGGGGGGGTGTTGGAATAAAGTAAAAAAAAAAAAAATGAAATATAATATATGTTATTAAACTAATAAGAAGTATAAATTATTTATATAATAGAATATAAAGAAAAATATCATAAAAAAGAATAAAACTGTTGAAATATTGATGCAATAAAAATAAAATTAATAATATAATAATAATAAATATTGAATAAAGAGTATTGTGATAAAAAGGAGCACAATTTTAATTAAAATAAGTATAATAAATGTATATGTTGATTAAAAATATTATAAAGAATAATAAGAAGCTCTAAAATATATTTGTGTATTTTATATAAATTATGTTTAAACATTCCTTATAAATAAAAATACAGCGTGTTTTATTTTGCTTGTATACTTTTATTGCGTGTTTTCCCCTAGGGCTGGGATAAAAGCTTTCATATATGTGAAAATTTCCGTACTGTTTTTATTATTAAAATACTAGATACTATATTAAAAAAAGCGTTGTGAATCAAATAAAGATAATATTTATATAAATAATCCAGAGAAAGAGAGAGAGAGAGAGAGAGAGAGATAAAAGATATAAAATAAACAAAGTTCATACCAATATATTAATTACATAAATAATATGCTACTTAGATAATACATTTTCAACAAGATATAAATAATAATATCATAAAAAGAAATGCAATTTGATACATTAATAAGGTACTATACTATAGGTTATAATGTTTAAATTTTATTTATAGAATTGTGACTACAATTTATTAGCTATATATAGAACAATGCTTTTCTGTAATTATTTAGAGTTTTACACGAAACAAAAGACGTTGAAAATTAACATTGAGGACAACTCAAATAGATTAAGCGAGTACAATAACTCCTTTTACAATTGCAAATAATTAGACCTTTATTTTGGACAAATAATTAATGAACAGAGTAGATTTAATTGTTTTATCCGTTGGCACTTCTTTGTTAATTTTCATAAATAGTTAAGTCCGTTACGGAATGTTGAGAACTGTTTAATTAGCCTAATCGTTTCGTCGAAATGGCTTAAAATTATTCCCGATATTAATTTTGTTTGAAAACTCCGTGAATGCGATATTCCTATTCCATATTTTCCAATATTGTCTAATAATAATCTTCTTTAAAGTGTTTGTTTATATTGTAGACGACCTAACAAACTTTAATAAAAAACACTGATTGGCTTAATTAATGAATAGTATTTGTTTGACGTACCTAATGCGTTCGATGTTATGCTTAAGAGATTTAAGTTTTCCGCATTTTGTTATGACATCAGCCTATCAGCGCCCACTGCTGAGCAAAGCCTCTTTCTCACATGGAGAAGGTTTGAGCATTAATCACCACGCTTGCTCAAGACGGGTTGGTGATTTCAAACTTATAATTGTGAAACTATAAATCCAGGTTTCCTCACGATGTTGTCCTTCACCGTATGTCCCTGGTGTCTAAATACTCTCAGAAAGTACATATGACTCCGAAAAATCACATTGGTACTTGCCTGGTTTGAACCCGCGCCCTCGGCAACGAGAGGCGGGCCCTTTAACCACTAGGCCACCACTGACTTTTTTATTTTTTGTTATATATTAATAAAAATTATGAGACTAATTTGACAAGAAGCCATAGAAGTCAAAACTTATTATTAAAATTAGATAAAAAAATGATGTTATATAATACGAATAAATATGTTTTATTACAAAGATCCAAACAAAATAATGAAGAGGTGTTCAGTGTTAAATTAATAATCATGTGACCGTTTTGTATATACATATTTTTGTGAACAATTTTGGGATTGAATACAAAAAATTGCTTTTAAAGCTGGGCTTTAAAACCCAATGGAGTCCGTTGCCAGTGATATCGACAAAAATAATGGCGTGTTACTTGTTTATTAAAGGAAACGTTTCGTCCATTAGGAGTGTTTATTTAGCCGGCAGTGATTTTGATCATAACTGACAAAAGAGGTTTTCAAAGAACTTATTATTTGCAAAATATTTTCATGGTAAATTTTTGAGATCCACTTATCAGTATACAATACATATGTACATTAATTACTGTACTTACATTTGTAATCTATACTGTGATTCAATAATATAACTGGGCCATCTATTTTTTTTTATTTTAGTTCCAAAGTAATAAAAGCATTTGCAGCAATAATCAACAGAATTTTCAAAGAGTTTAAGTAGTAATGACATTCGATACATAAATTACCTCTTTAGATGAAATGATATAATAATGTCAACGAGTTATAAATATAACATTTATTCCTGTAACAATTGATTAGATTTGTACCAGTATTTTAATACATCCACATGTCAAACAAGATTTTAATTATTCAATGTAATACCGAATTGAAATTTGCAATAATGTAGGCACATCGCTGCAGGCGATTAACAACGTACATCTGGTGTTGCCATAAAATGTAATGACCGCGTGTTTCTACCCAGCTGCGGCCTAACGCTGGCTGCCAATTAATTAATTCACAGTACACGGCCGCACGACGAGAAATGTACGACGTGCTTCACGTTAGCCACGAATGCACGATGTTTGTGATTCCATTGATTCTACACTGAAAATGTTTGGATTGCACTAAGTAAATTCATGTGTAATCATTTTAATTGCAACTGAGAGTTATGTATAAAGAACTAATTACTTTTAACACATCCTTTGACTTTTGGGAAGTTATATAATTGTGGTATGCCTTCGTATATTTGCTACACTGTACCTAAATTATTTGCTAACTAAGCATACTATGTTGAATTCCGATACTAAAACTTGTAAATTTAAATTAATTCGCCAAAATTGAATCCAGCTTAGTGATATCATTAAAAATTTATAACAGGTGCTATAAGAAAATTGGCTTTTCTTGGAGTTCCCATATAAGAATAGAAAATTACAAAGGAGCGTGCTGAATTAGAATTAAATCGATAGTAAATTGAATCTTTTGAAATCTTATTTTAGATTCTGATGTGACAGGAATGCTTGAAAACTTTTTCCCAACCGGACGGGAGTATTCGGATGTGGGGCGATCTTCTACAACGGAACAATGTACTGTTCATTACAAGTGACGCGAAAAATAGATTCCGATAGAAAATCAAACTTGCTAATACATATATTCAAGATGTAAAAATAGTTGTTATTATTACTATAGTTTTATTTTAACATAACATTAAAGTTATTTTGACTAAAAAGCACAATAGTATCAGCTTAAAAGCTATAAACTTACGCCCTTAATTTTATAAAGTTATCAGTAACCACGAGTATCAATGAAATAAAATCAGAATTTTCCAATTACTTTTTTTACAATAAGTTGTAACTAGAAAACGGTAAAAGAGTTTTTGATATGTTTTTGTCGGATTATTCATATATTTTTCATGTAGTAATAGTTATGTAATGTATATTAAATTAATATAATTCTCTAAAATCAAATCAAAAATCTTATATGATACATATAACATACTCCAATTTTTATAATAACTTATAAAACACATACTCGTATACATTAGTAGATACATGGCATATTTCAGTGTAAGTTATATACTCTCTCGAAACTGATACTTCAGCTACTTCCATTTAATATCTGAACAGACGTCACTATGTTATAATTTGATAGTTGAATGCCGCATTGCATGTCCTATGATCGATATGCACATTTTGCATATCTGTCAAGCAGACTTGAATGCTTGAACAAACAAATAGGCAATTCCTTCCCATTGGTTATTCGGCTATATCTGTTCACTGGAGCGTTCTTGGTAAGCGGTGTTTCTGACAGCCAAATACGTTACCCAATATTGTGTTTCATTTGTAGCGATTATTACTGAACTTGATGATACGTATGGTCAAAAAGTTATAGCTTCTTTGAACTATGATAGTCTAAATATAAAGCATTAAATTCCTATACTTTAGATGATATATGTGACTTCGTGTAACATATACGGTTGGTATGGTGAAATGAAATTATTATTATAGCAATGCAAAATCATCTCTATACTTCTCTGTTTAGTTTTTTTTAGGTAGTCTTATTATTGTAAAAAAAACGAAGACCAAATCTAATAAATGTTTATATCAATAAATATTTTTGTTCATT